AGAACGTTCGATTTTACACGTCGCTCCTTCTTTGACTATTGTGTGTGGTTTCTCGTATAACACTTCATTTTTTTGTAGCTGTTCATTGAAGCATAAATTTTTCTAAAACGGTAATGCATTGTCCAATTCTTTTTTATGATTAGATTAGAGAAAGTAGATTTTCGAAGCTTGAGAGGCATTGTAAAGATCATAGGGACATTCATGTGTGTTGGTGGAGCCATCATCATGGCACTGCTCCGAGGCCCTAAGCTACTGAACGGAGAACTCCAATCAACAAAGTTAGCCCTTGGGTCAGGAGCTGAGAATTGGTTGCTGGGTTGTCTATTTCTCTTTGGAAGCAGTTCTTGCTGGTCAATTTGGCTCATTTTGCAGGTATATATTCAGCTCTTCAAATATTTCTTCTTGATTTCCATTCTTTTATGTATGTCACTTTAGTCCCTAGTTTGATTCGTAAATGGGTCCATCGAAAACGATAGTTTAAAATTACTAACAACACGTTGCTACTTAGCAATGTTAAACTGAAATTTCTATTAGAAATTTAGAATTGAAATGAAAACTTTGGGAGCTAACGTGACGATGTGAAACGATTGAAAGAATTGAGACTAAATTGATACGGAGAGTATATTTTAAGGATCAATATTGCATTTTAATCTTATTTTAGACTTCTTAAGTAAAATTCAGTTGTTACTTTTAAACAGGTCCCAGTTTGTGCAAGCTATCCTGATCACCTCTCTTTATCTGCTTGGATGTGTCTCATGGCAACTTTACAATCAGCAACAATTGAATTGTTCACAGAGATAGACAGGGATGCTTGGATTTTGCATACATATATTGAACTTGGGTGTTGTTTCTATTCAGTAAGTCGTAGTTTTTTGATGCTAGGAACAATCTACTTTATTAATAGTTACAATGTCGAAAAATTGGAACAAATTAGGCTCCAATATTGTCAAGTTAAAGACTCAATGATGTCCAAAAATTTAAGACCGGTAATGAGATCCAAAAATATTTGAATTAACTCAACCTATTTGAGTCGTAACTTGACCTGTTTGAGTTATAACTTAAATGTAATTTTTGGTACGATACACCAAATTCTTGTTATGATTAAACTGGGCAACTAGCTTGAATTTCTTGGACAGGGTGTTTTGGGTTCAGGCTAACCATTTTTGCACAAGCCTGGTGCATCTCAAAAGGGGTCCTCTCTTCTCTGCAATGTTCAATCCTCTATGCACAGTGATTGTGACCATCTTTGCTGCAATATTTCTACATGAAGAAATCTATACAGGAAGGTAATCCATCTCTTCTAGAAACCTCCTATGATCTTATTGATACATTTCCCTTACAAGCAAACTGCTCTCTCTCTCTCTCTCTTTATATATATATTGAACTAAGACTTTTGATTTCAGCTTGGTAGGTGCTTTTGGTGTGATAATTGGATTGTATGTTGTGCTATGGAGCAAAGCCAGAGACCTTGAAGAGTTAACTCCTTCAAGGTCTCTGGCTTTGCTCCATAGCACAACATACAATCCAATTATCACACCAAAAGCACCTACCAAGCTGAAATCAAAGTCTTAGTTCAATATATATATAAAGAGAGAGAGAGAGAGAGCAGTTTGCTTGTAAGGGAATGTATCAATAAGATCATAGGAGGTTTCTAGAAGAGATGGATTACCTCCTGTATAGATTTCTTCATGTAGAAATATTGCAGCAAAGATGGTCACAATCACTGTGCATAGAGGATTGAACATTGCAGAGAAGAGAGGACCCCTTTTTGAGATGCACCAGGCTTGTGCAAAATGGTTAGCCCTGAACCCAAACACCCTGTCCAAGAAATTCAAGCTAGTTGCCCAGTTTAATCATAACAAGAATTTGGTGTATCGTACCAAAAATTACATTTAAGTTATAACTCAAACAGGTCAAGTTACGACTCAAATAGGTTGAGTTAATTCAAATATTTTTTGATCTCATTACCGGTCTTAAATTTTTGGACATCATTGAGTCTTTAACTTGACAATATTGGAGCCTAATTTGTTCCAATTTTTTCGACATTGTAACTATTAATAAAGTAGATTGTTCCTAGCATCAAAAACTACGACTTACTGAATAGAAACAACACCCAAGTTCAATATATGTATGCAAAATCCAAGCATCCCTGTCTATCTCTGTGAACAATTCAATTGTTGCTGATTGTAAAGTTGCCATGAGACACATCCAAGCAGATAAAGAGAGGTGATCAGGATAGCTTGCACAAACTGGGACCTGTTTAAAAGTAACAACTGAATTTTACTTAAGAAGTCTAAATAAGATTAAAATGCAATATTGATCCTTAAATATACTCTCCGTATCAATTTAGTCTCAATTCTTTCAATCGTTTCACATCGTCACGTTAGCTCCCAAAGTTTTCATTTCAATTCTAAATTTCTAATAGAAATTTCAGTTAACATTGCTAAGTAGCAACGTGTTGTTAGTAATTTTAAACTATCGTTTTCGATGGACCCATTTACGAATCAAACTAGGGACTAAAGTGACATACATAAAAGAATGGAAATCAAGAAGAAATATTTGAAGAGCTGAATATATACCTGCAAAATGAGCCAAATTGACCAGCAAGAACTGCTTCCAAAGAGAAATAGACAACCCAGCAACCAATTCTCAGCTCCTGACCCAGGGCTAACTTTGTTGATTGGAGTTCTCCGTTCAGTAGCTTAGGGCCTCGGAGCAGTGCCATGATGATGGCTCCACCAACACATGAATGTCCCTATGATCTTTACAATGCCTCTCAAGCTTCGAAAATCTACTTTCTCTAATCTAATCATAAAAAGAATTGGACAATGCATTACCGTTTTAGAAAAATTTATGCTTCAATGAACAGCTACCAAAAAATGAAGTGTTATACGAGAAACCACACACAATAGTCAAAGAAGGAGCGACGTGTAA